CTCCCGGGTTCAAGCAATTCTCCTGCCTCAGCCTCCCAAGTAGCTGGGACTACAGGTGCATGCCACCTCGCCCGGCTAATTTTTGTATCTTTAGTAGACATGGGGTTTCACCATGTTGGCCAGGATGGTCTTGATCTCCTGATCTCCTGATCCACCCGCCTCGGCCTCCCAAAGTGCTGGGATTACAGGCATGAGCCACCGTGCCCGGACTGAAGGATCATTTTATCGGTGAAGTTTGTAGGAGTCCAGTACCTGGGGGCGTGTCAGGACATGCTCTCCAAAAGGAAGGATACTTTATTGAGTCATGCCTCCCCGTCATTAAGAATGAATTACAATATGCCAAAAGCCTCTTTGGCTCCTGGAGGTAGTCCAAGGAGAATCGTTCCCTGGCAGTAGGACTGAGCCTAATGGAACTGGCTCCATGTGCCAGGCTGGACATCAGCTGCTGGACGGTGCCTGTCATGTGCCTTCCCTCCTTTTAAAACAGGGAGTGTCTGCAGTGGTTGTCTTATGCTGTTGACACCATCTTCTCTTGACCCTCTCAGTGGAGGGAAGAGGATGTCTCTCTTTAGTTCACGGCATTTTTAGAACCAGTGCTCAAGGACCTGTGCCTGGGGAGCCACGCTGGAGGAGCCACATCAGCACCTGATTCAGGGGATGCAGTCCTGAGCCTGATGCTGAAAGGAGATGAGACTTTAGGGCTGAGGTGGGGGAGGGGTGAGTGTATTTTGCATGTATGTGTGAGTATGAAGGTTAATTTTATACATCAACTTGCCTGGGTTAAGGGATGCCCATGATTTCTGGAAGTGTCTGTGAGGCTGTTTCTGGAAAAGATAAGTGTCTGAATCCATAGGCTGAGGAAAGAAGATCCACCTTCACCAAGGTGGGTGGGCACCATCCAATCTGCAGAGGGCCCGAATAGAACAGAGAGGCTGAGGAAGGGTGAATCTGCACTCTCTGCTGGAGCTGGACCATCCGTCTTCTCCTTTGCCCCCAGAACTCCCGGTTCTCCGGCCTTTGGACTGAGACTGAATTGCAGTGGCAGCTTTCCTGAGTCTCCCGCTGGCAGACAGCAGATGGCAGGACTTCTTGGCCTCCAATCATCATGTGAGCCAATTCCCATAATAAATCTCCTCTTATCTATCCTCTTGGTTCCATTTCCCTGGAGAACCCCAACGAATACAGGGGATGTGTGTGAATCTTCTAAAAATGGCCATAACAATGTTCCCCACTCCACCTGCTCTTCCAGAACCCTGACACCACCCCCAGCAAGAGGCAGATGCTTTGTCCCCCCACCGCCCTTAAACTCAACTGAGCCTTTGTGCCTGCCTTGCTCTTAGAGTATGGTGGGAGTGATGCTGTGGAAATTTTGAGTTGTCACAAGAGGTTGTGCAGCTCACTCTCGGGATGTTTGCCACCAAAATCCCACCATCCCTTAGAGAGGCCCCTTGCAGGTGTCCCGGCTGATGGTCCTAGCTGAAGTTCTGACTGGCAGCTGGCATCAGTGGCCACAGGTGCAAGACCACAGCCTTTCTGACCCTTCCAGTCTCTACTTGTCCTTTGAGCCACCCCAGCAGAGGTGAGTGGCCCTCCCCAAACCCCCTGCTCAAATTGCAGATTTAGGACAACTATGAAGCGCTATCTTAGTCCCAAACTTCCCGGGGGATTGAGTATGCACGTGGAGAGTCACGTGTGAGTACAGAGGTGGGCCGGGGTAGCTGTCAGGGCCCAAAATGTTCACTTGGAAAATAACAGGATGTACGTGGTTTAGAAAGTCTTGAGTCCAGGTAATATGACCTAGGGAGAAAGTATATAGAAAAGGGTGGAGGGCTGAGCTTGGGGCACTTCATCACTAGCCAGATGGCGGGGAGAGGGGAGGAAAGTCAGCAGTGGGTGGTGCTGCAAAGGGGCTGTGTCAAAGGGGAGGGCTGCTGGGAGCTGGGGAACAGGACACTAGGATGTCCACGAAACCTGATGCCATGAAGTCATTGGCGACCTGTCAAGAAGAGCGTTAGTGCAGAGCAGAGGGTGAAAGCCAGGGGAGTTCATGACCAGAGGTGAGGCGGTGTGTGGAGTGCTGCTGGGGTGGGGAGGGGGATGTCAAGTGATGGTGGGAGGGCTGGCTTTCCAGGAGGGCTGGGCACTGCTTCCTTGTCAGGCAGAGAAGGTGGACTCATACAGGTAGGTTTGTACCTGGAAGCAGAAATGCAAGGGCTTTTGCTGAGACCTTTTACAGAGAGAGGGCGCTGCAGTAAAAGCTTCCAACCCTAGCCCTTCTAGTCTGTGTCCAGGTCAGTGAACAAACCCACAGAGGACATCCTGACCTTTCTCTCTTCGGAGCTGTGCTCCTCTGGCTCATTCCCAGCTCCGTGCATCTCCAGGCTTCTCTGCCCTGTGGGGCTGTGGGCTCCTGAGTAGGACGGCTGTGGGCTCCTGAGTAGGACTTCTGTTCCTTTGCATTCTCTGCGGTTCTAGGAAGTGCTTGGTCCCTGACAGATGCCCACTCAACACTTGCTGATGGAGAGCTTGTCAATTTCATCTAACAAACCAGAATCACTGGGCCATCCAGGAATCGAAGCAGAACATGAAGAAATTCCATGCAAACAGGGCTGTTAAAAGCCAACCCGCCAGAGAGGGCAGAACGGAGGAAGGACGAGAGGGTTCCACGTCCTGGAGGCAGGTGGGCGATGGTTCTCAAGAATTAACACAAACCATGGGTTTTCCAGTGACCAAGGGGCTGTGGGCAGTATGTTGTCTGTCAAATTATTTATTTCGTTCGTGAGATTTCTGGGTGCTACTCCATTTTTCTTTTCTTAGATAGGGTCTTGCTGTGTTGTCCAGCCTGGAGTACAGTGGCACAATCACAGCTCAATGCAGCCTCCAACTACTGGGCTCGAGTGATGTTCCTGCCTCAGCCTCCTGAGTAGCTGAGAGGGACTACAGGAGTATGCCACCACACCCAGCTAACTTTAGTAGACAGGGGTCTCACTATTTTGCCCAGGCTGATCAACTCTTGGCCTCAAGTGATCCTCCCATGTCAACTTCCCAAAGTTCTGGGATTACAGGTGTGAGCTGCTGCGCCTGGCCTGCTTTAGTCTTAATAGAGGGCTCTAAGGTTGTGGGTGTGGAGGTTTCTCCTGACTCTGGGAGGAGATGGACTCCCCATCCCTGTAAGCTGTGACATGTGTGTTCCATGTCAGGCCCAGATGGCATCCAAATGGCTGTGGTTGTTCCCACTGTGGTGGTGGTGTGGCACCCCTGTCCTGTCCGCAGTGCTGGGGGATGTGTGGGGCCGTGACTTGCCGTCACATCTGCTGGCGGAGGGAAGCTGTGAGGGCTGTTGGCAGGGTTGTGGGGTGGGGGTAGCGGGTGGAGAGTTGAGCATGGCTCTCCGGCCAGCATGGCCAGGGCCTGCACTCTGCAGCACAGGTCTTGGAGCCTGGGCTGCTCTGCCAGTGAAGTGGCTGCTCTACATCAGATGCACAGGCTCCTAGCACAACTGTCAGACCCTCATGTCCCCACCCAGGGTTTTGCAACCACAAAGGGATGAGGCCAGGACTGAATGATTTGTTAGCACTCGCTCATGGAGATGCAGCCATCCCTCAGAACTGTATTTCCCAGTGACCTCTGACACCAACTCCAGCTGTGGCCAGCAGGCTCCCCGCAGCCAAGTCCCTGGCAAGCCAGGTGACCGCCACAGTGGGGAAGGACACAGCCTCCCCGTCAGCCCTGAGGACTGGCTTTCGTCTTTTACTTCACAGACAGCTTAAAACCATTACGGAAAAACATTTTATTACACATATTCAACTTGCTTCCAATGAAATGATTAATTTTTCATGTATAATGGCATCCAATGTTTGTCTTCTGTTTTTTTTTTTTTCCTTTCAAAACCAGCACCAAAAAGAAAGTAAAACAAAAATACCATGGGTACAGTATGTAATGCAAGTTAACTAATGGAAAATATATACATTTGACTCTGAAATGAAAAAAGAACAATAGTATTGCCATTGAGGCTCTTTTCCTGCATTCTGATCATATCAAGCCATGGTCAACTGAGAGGGTTTCATTTTGCACCAATAAAAATAGCACCATAGGATCGTGAGGCTCTAGTTAGTAACACGTGTGCAAGCACAAAGGTACAGTACTTGAGGGACAGTACAGGGTGTTGATAACAATACAGAGACATCACTGCTGTGATCAGAGTCTAGTGGAACAAGAATGTCATGATGGTTTCACTGAAATCACTGCTCGTGCCATGAACAGGAAGGCAGGCTGGTGGGTTTCAAGATAAGCTAAAAGGCTGGGCACGGTCGCTCACTCCTGTAATCCCAGCACTTTGGGAGGCCGAGGCAGGTGGATCACAAGGTCAGGAGAATGAGACCATCCTGGCTAACATGGTGAAACCCCGTCTCTACTAAAAATACAAAAAAGTAGCCGGGCGTGGTGGCGGGCGCCTGTAGTCCCAGCTAC